TCTTCTTTGTCATGTCTTTTACTGGCAGGCTGTGTTATGCAGTTACAAAGAAAACACCAATCACTTTATTGCTTATCTTGAAAGATAATCTTTTAAGGACTCTTAAAGGAATCACAAATCTAAACTTTTATATATGAGAAAGAATCAATCAACTCTACTTTAAATTTTTACTGTACATATCCACTCGTCAATAGTTTCTTCTATCAGGAGATTGAGGGCAGAAATGGGTATAAGGAATTAATCATCACCTTTGGTCATCAACCAGTCCTAGCAAGCAAGACAAGTCAACTAATGGTAATTGGACTGCTTTGTTCTTGTTCCCTGACCACTAGTTCCTCATTCAGCTATGTGCCTTTCTAAAACTTTAGGTTGCCTTTGTGGGTTTTTCACCTCAAAACTATTTGACAAATACATCTTAGTCTAACCTTACATTATTAAAAGGCTTTGTTTCAGCTACAGTGCACTCTGAAACCTGTGAACTCATCTGCCAACATTAAGGTTAAAAGAATTTAAGGTAACTGGACTAACTAGAACTCAATTGTTTTTCTTAATTATTAACCTGAGTCATAGTCTATATGGCTCCTTAATGGAATCTCATGTATTCTAGCTGTGTGATACTTCCTTGTTTTATTTTTAGTCATCAAAACTCTGAATAAACTAACATTATTATTACCAATTAGGCATTGCAGTTTAAGAAGGAATTATCTTCATCGTAATCCACAGGTAAAAATGCTTAGTAGAACGGGAAGTTTTCACGAGATAAACACATTACATTAGAGTCAGTGGGGATCTCTTCACCCATTTACTCCATGCCTGATACAAGAGATAGATAGCAACAGCAAATGTGTAAAGGCACAGCAGAAGCAAAAGACATTTTGGGGTCTGTGGTCTTAGGGCCTTGTCTATCTGAGATTCACCCCTCAGGGATTTGCCTCCTGGTGGGCGACACCTTGAACTTCAATTGCTACCTGCTGCTCTTCTGACATGGCTGGATGATATGTTGATAACCCTGACCCATTCTTCTGCCTACGACCATATTGATGTCTGTGACCTGAGCTGCTGCCAGAAATAATGTGGAAGTCCATGATCCATGCTGCTGCTGGCTGTTATTGGCAAGGACCCTTCTTTTGTGTTGGTATTAATGATTGCACTCGTAACTGTGGATGAGAGACATTAACAGTTTCCATGACAACCTGTCCCCCCAAAGAAACAGTCCAGACAAGAAGCTATTAAAGAGAGTCCTTAAAAGCTGTTATAATGGGTCGGACAGTTTGTTGGGCGGGCACCAGCCTTGACAAAAATACCATTTACCAGGGTAGGGGTGTGAGACTCAGAAAAATTAGTAAAGAGTATGAAGACATGAGTAAAAAAATAAAACAGAAAACATAAGAGTACCAGGAGGGAGTTCCAGTAAATACTGAAATTGCCTGTGTTTAATTTCCAATTGCTGAAAATATCCCTGACTTCAAAAGGTAGGAATAAGATTTAAAAAAACTGCATTAACATGATACAAGGAAATGAATAGACCAGCTGAAGGTTGCAGGCTGCATTCATAGTTAAACTTTCTGTTGCTAGAACAAAGCAAGTCACACTCACACCCTAGACCAAAACATTCTGTAGGCAGATCACTCCTGGTTGGAATCCATTGTTATCTCCTTAAAGGAGTAGGAACTTAGTTGGATACTTAGACTTTTGTTTGGAGTTGAAACATATCTACTTCTCTATTCCTGAAATGGTCTGGATATTATTATCAATGTTTGTTGACAGTAACCTTGAGAGAGCAGAACTCTCAGAACTGATCTAAATATAGATAGGACCTTTGTTTGAGGCAAAAACAGAAAATAACCTTGAAGGAATACAGGTAAGTTCCAACTCTCTGACCTTTGATCAAGGTGGAAATAGGCTCACATTTTTGGGCCTTCACAGTGGTTGGAGCATACCTTTAATCCCAGCACTAGGGAAGCAGAGACAGGCAGATCTTTGTGAATTTGAGGTCAGCCTGGTCTACAGAGCAAGTTTCAGGACAGTCAAGGCTACACCGAGAAACCCTGTTTTGAACCCCTCCCATGCAAACAAACAAACAAACAAAAAAAAAAACTGTGATGAAGATGCTGAAGTCACAGTTGATGGCTTTTGGTGAGGGATTGGGGAAGGAGCTTATCACTAGGAGTTTGTGCTCCAGCGAGTATGTGGGCAACACAAATTGGACTTGGTGTGGTATTTTTTTGGGGGGGGGAGTGTGCAAGGGTGGGAAGCAAGTGTGATTAGAGTGCATTGTATGAAATTCTCAATTAATAATAGTATGATATAGGGGAATAAAGGTCTCATCCATGTGTGAGGGTCAATATGTGTGGATTTTTCCCTTGAGTATGTAGTATTCTCCATTTCTTTTGATTCATTTTGGTTTGAAGTCTATTTTGTTAGATATTAAATGGCTATACCAGCTTTTTTTCCCCATTTTCTTACAATATTTTTTTCTATTTCTTTAGCCTGAGGTGATGTCTGTCCTTGATGTTAAGATGCTTGTCTTGGATTAAGCAGAAGGCTGAATCCTTCTGTTTCTGCATCCATTCTGTTAGTCTCTCTCTTTTTTTTTAATTTGGGAATTGAGAATACTGATATTGAGAGATATCAATGCGAAGAGTTTGTTGATTCCTGTTATTTTATGGGTGTTGGCGTGAATGTATATATTTCCCTTTTTATTTGCTGGTCTGTGATTATTTATTCTCTGTGTTTTCTTGGAGGTCATTAACCTCATTAGGTTGGAATTTTCTTTCTAGTGCATTCTGTAGTATTGGATTTGTAGAATAGATATTGCTTAAATTTGACTTTATCATGGAATGTCTTTGTTTTTCCATCCATGGTGATTAAAAGTTATGCTGGGTATAGTAGTCTGGGCTGGCATGTATGATCTCTTAAGCATCTGTAGAGCATCTGTTCATTCACCTATGGTTTTAAAGTCTCCATGGAGAAATCAGTTGTTATTCAAATAGGTCTGCCTTTATGTTACTTGGCTTTTTTCTTTTGTACCTTTTATTATTCTTTATGCTCCATATTTTGATTATTTGTGCCTGGGGGTTTTTGTTTTCTGATCTAGTCTATTTGGTATGTTGTATACTTCTTATATCTTGAGAGCCATCTCCTTCTTTAGATCAAGGAAATTTTCTTCTATTATTTTGTTGGAAATATTTCCTGTGTTTTTGACTTGCATTTCTTCTCTTTCCTCTATTGCTGTTACTTTTAGATTTGGTTTTTTCACAGTGTCCTAGATTTCCTGGATGTTTTGTGTCAGGATTTATTTTAGAATTAACATTTTCTTTTGTTATGGTATCCATTTCTTCTAAACATCTCTTTAATTCCTGAGATTTTTCTCTCCATCTCTTGAATTCTGTTGGAGGGGCTTACCTGTGAGGTTCTTGTTCGAGTTTCTAAATTTTTCTTTTCCAAATTTCCCTTAGTTTGGTTTTTTTTTTTTTTTTACTGACTCTATTTCCAGTTTCAGGTCTTGAACTGTTTTATTTCCTTCCACTATTTGTGTTTTCCTAGATTTTTTAAAAAAAGATTTATTCATTGTCTTTAAGGACCTCTATCATATTCATAAAGGCTATCTTAAAGTTTTTGTCTTATGCTTCAGCTATGTTGCAAATCTCAGAACCTATTCTTGTAGGTTTGCTGGGCTATGGTGGAGGCATTTTGTCCTGGCTGTTATTTTTTGTTTTCAGACTGGCATTTAGACATCTTGGTTTGTGAATATTGTAATTCCAGGTGCTGATGTCTATCTTTGTCTTTGTTGGGTGGATGTTTTGTTCCATGCTTGGTTGCCCTCTCTGGTTAGTAGAGTTTAGTGGCTGTGTGTTGTATAGTAGGAAATTCTTCAAGGATCCTGACTTATGTAGCCACTGTGGGTTCCAGCAAAAATGTGTTTCTAGGTGTTAGAAGCTGACACTTAGGTAGGAGGATGGGCTGGGGGTGGGTTGGTGAGGGGTTCCACAGGAGGGAGGAGAGCAGGGTGTTCCACTAGGATTCGATTAGTCCCTTGGAAATGGGGGCAAAGAGTGAGAAGTGGCCACAGATAGGGATGAGACTGGGGGATTGGCTATGGAGCCAATTCAAATTGCTATTTGAATTGCATAGTTCTAACTTGGAAGATTATAAATACTAATAGTTTCTAGGAAAAGATTTCCCAATATTATAACATGTAGGTGGTCTCTGCTATAGAAGTGCTTTATATTGTATCAATGATTTACATGTTGGCTCCTTATAGAGATAGTAACTTTTTAATCTGAAAGATAGAAATTTATCATTCATTTAAATTCAGTGCAGTAAATATTAATGAATGGATAAGATTGGATTCCCATTTTTAGGAAATGCCTAATCTAGTATGAGATTCAGATGCTAGCAGATAACTTCTACATAGCAGAGGTCATGCTATGGTCTATCAAATATCAGGAAGAATAATTACTCAGCTGAATCTTGAAAAGAGTAGTTGAAAATAGGGAGGGGTGAAAATCTGAAGCTTGCCTACCTACCTGCTTTAATGACCTATTACTTCCTAATGCTGTGACCCTTTAATACACAGTCCTTCATGTTGTGGTGACCCTTGGCCATAAAATCATTTTGGTTGCTTTTCAGTTTATACCTTTTCTATTGTTTTCTTGTGATATTAATAATATTTTTAAGAAGATAGGTATAAATTATGTTTTCAGCATTTTATATTTAATGATAGTTCTAGAACTATTCTTGGGATCAGAAACTTATTTTCATAGCTAACCAACTGTGTTGCTTCATTACTAAAAACAAACAGGATGAAAAAACTCCTATTGCTTCTCAAATATTTATTAGGCAATATTTGAGGTATAATACACATTCAGAATATTTTAAAAAATAATGGCCTATTAGAAAATATAAGGCTTGCAACTAAATTGTATCTTTTTTGTTTCATGAGATTGAGGTGTGTTACTCCAAGCAGGTGAACCTACAGATCTGACTGTGTCTTGCAGAGACAGGGAAGAGCGGTTGGCAGCACTCACAGCAGCTCAGCAGGAAGCTATGGAAGAGCTGCAGAAAAAAATTCAGCTCAAGGTCAGGATAGCATGTTATTTTTATTTGAAATTTGAGAGCTTAAATGGAGCACATTATAAAATTCTGTGGAATAAAAGTTGAATTAATTTGTATTTATAATATTTGGATAACATATTTTTTTATGAATGAGTCGTAACTGACTCAAACTCAGCTGTTTGACAATCAAATTTATTTTGTTATAAATTTATTTTGATATTATAGAATCATTGTGGAACAATAACAAAGATATTTAGTATTTACTCTTATTAATCAGTTAATAAATAACTTGAAGTCATTATTTGTTGCTGGAGGCTTCTTCCACCCGGTCCTGCAGCCATTTGTCCCAAAGAAATACATTAAAGAGGTCTACATTAATTATAAACTGGTTGACCTGTTCACTCAGGCTTCTTATTAATTAATTCTTACATCTTAAATTAGCCCATTATTCTTGTCTATTTTAGTCACATGGCTTTGTACCTGTATCAGTGAGGTGTTTTCATCTCGCTTCCTCTGTGTCTGGGTGATGACTACAGACTGAGCCTTTCCTCTTCCCAGAATTCTCCTGTTCTTATTGCCCTGCCTCTACTTCCTGCCTGGTCACCCCACCTCTACTTCCTTCCTACCTGGCTACTGATCAGTCAGCATTTTATTAAAATATAATTGGCAAATCTTTACAAAGTACAAGACCATTGTCCCACAATAATTATTATTTTAATTATCTAGCAATTATTCATTTGATTTCAATACTTTTGAATTGCATAGTTCTAACTTGGAAGATTATAAATACTAATAGTTTCTAGGAAAAGATTTCCCAATATTATAACATGTAGGTGGTCTCTGCTATAGAAGTGCTTTATATTGTATCAATGATTTACATGTTGGCTCCTTATAGAGATAGTAACTTTTTAATCTGAAAGATAGAAATTTATCATTCATTTAAATTCAGTGCAGTAAATATTAATGAATGGATAAGATTGGATTCCCATTTTTAGGAAATGCCTAATCTAGTATGAGATTCAGATGCTAGCAGATAACTTCTACATAGCAGAGGTCATGCTATGGTCTATCAAATATCAGGAAGAATAATTACTCAGCTGAATCTTGAAAAGAGTAGTTGAAAATAGAAAATTCAGTTGAGTAAGATACATTCTGGCTATACAAAATAGTGTTAACACAAAAAAAATTTTCCTGGAATTGTGATTGGAAGTGAAAAAGTAGTAATAGGGCAGTTATATACTGTAGTATGTCTTTGTCACTTTCCTGCTGTGTGTCTAAGCATGAGTGTTCCTGTGGGTCAGCACTTATCATAGTGTTTGATAGGTAAGCAAATGGGTAGTGGGTAGAAGCTTACCAAATTCTACCTCCAAGTAACCAGTAGTGTTGAATCTCTGAGCACAGTGATATGCTAGAAGATGTATGAAGTTCTATGTCAAAAATCTTTAACTTATTCTTTTACAAATGTATCTGTGAAACTGTTCCCACAAAACATGCACTACCATCCTGTGGACACACTTTAGGAGCATTATTGTGCTCAAGTGATATGTTAAAAGACTGTGAACTTTGTTGTTCAAACGTAAAAGTTAATATTGAAGCAAGGTACTTTTGGATTATTTTAGAAGTTTTAATGGAAAGTCTTTTTCCAAGATCTTTGTATAACCTGAATACTTTTTAAGTTTCTCACACTTTGACCCTGTCTACAGCATGATGAAAGCATTCGAAGGCACATGGAACAGATTGAACAAAGGAAAGAAAAGGCTGCTGAGTTAAGCAGTGGGCGACATGCAAGTACTGATTATGCCCCTAAACTGACCCCTTATGAAAGAAAGAAGCAGTGTTCTCTCTGCAATGTCCTGGTAGGTGGCTGTCACTGTTAATAGTCTGTTGATATAATTTATTGCTAAAAGTTATTAAAAGACTTCCAGCCTTTTAAATCTTGTGCTAAGACATCTACTAAATGCTATTGACTTCTTTGAGGATTTTAAATGAAAAGTAAGAATTACAAATAATAGCATTTAGGAATGGCAGTGTAAAGTGCCGGTGTATGCAATTGTTACTAAAATGATTGTTTACCTGCTTAATGATAGATTAAGTCAATATTTTGATGTATTGGGACCAGAAATCAAAACCAAGTTTTTCAGTACTGAGACTTGAGTCTTTAAACTTAGTCTCAGAATTGCATTCTAAGGGAAATATTTTAAGATACACACACACACACACACACACACACACACACATATTATATATGTATTATATATTCTAGAATGATCTGAACTTGTATAAAAATACTGGATTGAATGTCTAGTTCTTAGTATCAGATACAGTGGTACGTTGATTGGTATGGCTTGATTTTGTATTTTTAGATCGCTTCCGAAGTTTATCTCTTTAGCCACATTAAAGGGAAAAAACATCAGCAAGCTGTGAGAGAGAATAGCAGTATCCAGGGGCGTGAACTTTCAGATGAAGAAGTGGTAAGCTTTACTGTTTTTTGACAATTACTAATTGATTTTCTAGGTGTACTCTTTTATTATGAGTTCCATATTGATTTGTATTCATATAACAATTTAGAACCATACTTAGCACTTAATAGTTCAATTAATATAGTAGGCATATATGTTGTTATTTTAGTATACATACACAAACAGAATTTTTGTTATCACATAAATTTGTTTCAGAAAGAGTTAAGTATTTTGTGCTTGTGAGATAGCTAGCTCAGAGGACAAAGGCACATGCAGCCAAAGCTGTCAACCTCAGTTTGATCCCTGAGACTCACAAAGTGGAAGGAGAGAATTGATTCCTTCAAATTGTCATGTAATAATCCCACCTACATGCCATGGCACGTAAACAACTGAGTATGTACACACACAGCCTAAATAAATAGAATCTATTTTAAATGATTTTTAAAAAGTTATACTCAGGTACTTCAGAGGTGGCTCTGCAGGTAAGAGCACCAGAGTTTATAGAGAACCAGAATTTGTTTTTGAGCACTATTTTGAGTGGTTCATGACTGCCTGTAACTCCAGTTCTGGCAAATTTGATGCCTTCAATTGGTCTTTGTGGCCAACTACAGGCACTTTGTACATGGTAGGTACAGACAGGCACATGCATGCAAGCGCGCGCGCACACACACATACACACACACACACACACACTCTCACATCATTAAAAAAGATAAGTTATAATATTTTGTTATTAACTTGAGACAGGAATTCATTCATGTTTTATCAAATGTTTTAGAAAACATAGATCAATGTCTAGTTCATGTAAGTAGTTGATATTGGATTAGTAAATCATTTACATAGTTTTAGAAATGTTTTATTTTCTTACCTATAGTTATTGTGTACTAAAATTATATATTTTTATGAATGTTTTTAATTTTTATTCAGTTGTTCTTGAACTAGAATATCTATGAATTTGTTCTCTTTATTATACAGAATGTCTGAAGTTTACTAAAGATGTAGACTTCTTACTTGATAAACATTTGTTAAGATGCCCAGGAAAGATTATTGTGGTTTCTTTGAGGACAGCACCTATTAGTAGATATCAGTGTATGTTAAACTTATATTTTTTTTTAGATTTATTTATTACATATACAGTGTTCTGCTTGCATGTATACTTGCATGCCAGAAGAGGGAACCAGATCTCATTACAGATGGCTGTGAGCCACCATGTGGGCTGGGAATTGAACTCAGAACCTCTGGAAGAGCAGTCAGTGCTCTTAACCTCTGAGTCATCTCTCTAGCCCTAAACTTATATTTAAGATTTATTTTTATTCAGTTATTTTGTGAGTGTGGTGGGAGGAGATCAGGAGATGACTTTGGGGGTTGGCTCTTTCTGTCCACCTTGTTGAAGCAGAGTCTCTGGTTAATATTTGCCACTGCCCTGCATACTCAAGCTTCTACAGATTCCCACCTCCCATTTAGACATAGGAGTAACCAAAGACAGCTAACTCTTCTATTTTATGGGCTCTGGGGAGTGAATCCAGGTTTGCCATCAGGGTTATATAGCAAACACTTGCACTCACTGAGCTGTCTTACTGGGTGTACACACACACACACACACACACACACACACACACACACTCATATCTTGTGCTTATTATTTCAATTCCTTTGGCATATCTGAAGGTTAGGAAGTGAATATCCATACAGATTCTAAACAGTTCTTAAAATGGTTTTTCTGTTGGCCAGTCATCATCTTTATTTTGAAAGTCTTAATTGTTAGATATGTTTAAAGTTCATCTTTTATCTTATCAATAGCAGAATTTTTTGTTTAAAAAATCCTAGAAAATATTTGAGCAGTTGGAAAAGTCACAAAAAATTCAGTGTACCTACATACTGTGTTCTGTAAGATGACCCTAATACTGCTATAGCACTGATTTAGAGAAGTCACCAACACAAACAAAAATGTTTTGATACCAGGGCTGTCAGTTCAAGGCCTTTTCCACTTTAGTTGTGAGTGATACGATATTGGGGTCCCAGTTGAGGTCCTGCTCTCATCTCCATCAGGGAACACTTACTTTCTACATCAGTCTATTCAAAGTCTGTACCCTCTGGTTTGGAGGTGCTACTGTGGATGAACTTTATTTTTGAATGCCAGTTGGTGATTCTTATTTTAAAGTTTCAACATCAGTTAACTGAACAGATTGTCCATCACTTTGTTAACATCACCCTTAATTATTTTAATCTGAATCACTTTGTTAACATCACCCTTAATTATTTTAATCTGAATCTCCCTATCAGAAGCTCCTTCCTGGTAGATCAGCATGTACTTCTCACACTTAGCTAGCACCTTTTCATTTTCAACAGACACTGTAATGGTGTAAGGGACATGTGATTGTATGACTATCTCAATTTCTACATTAGAGGGAGGTAGACTTATGATCTAGTCATCTGATCCCTGCAGAATGGGGCTTTCTGTGTCAGACAGTAATTGATGTATTAGGCATGTGTGACTCTCAGGAGCGTCTCTCTGGCTTCTCAGGTTTGGGTTCAGTCACAGTGACCTTCAACTATTTGAGCTCTTTGTCTTTGAGCCACAGTTTATTCTGCATCTCTGAGTGACTGCTACCTGATTCTCACATTCCTGCTGCCGTTTCATCTGTCACCGTGCCTTGCAACCTGGCCTTTGTCTGTGCATGTCAGAAAGCTTCCACTGATTTTACACACACATTTTAAACTCCTGCTGTAGGTCATGTTTATCATCTTCATGGACTGTAGCTGTTTTCTCCAAAATCTCAATATTATACTTCAAAGTTTTTTCTTCTCCAGTCATTCTATTTCTGATTTCAGTCCTGAGATCAAACTGTAGTTTTTTATTTAAAACATCATTTTCACATTTTTTAAAAAGTTTTGAAAGTAATATATTGTTTGCTAAACTCCTCAGTTATCACAGGTAATGTTGTTTCTTCAAAACTTCAATTACTTTTGGAAGGATCTCTCATTGATACCCAAAGTTTGCACAGGGGCAATGATGAGAAGCTCTTTAGAATCATTTCTGTCACCAATGGCTCATCCAGTCATTCTCCCTAGCCAGGTTTCTCCTTCATCTTCTTGTGTCAATCCACATATCACTACTGGTCTCACTACTTTACCTCTTGGATTACTTCAGCAAATCTCATGTCTTGGAAGATTTCTTCATAGTCTTCAGCGTTTGTATCCACACAGTCAGCTGTATCTTCCCTTCCCCACTGAAGTACTTCTTTAACAGATGGTATGGTGGTTTGAAAAAAAATGACGCCCAAAAGGAGTAGCACGATTAGAAAGTATGGCCTTGTTAGAGGAAGTGTGTCACTGTGGGGGTGAACTTTGAAGTCTTCTTTGCTTAAGCTACAGCCAGTGAGACAGTTCACATCTTATTGTCTTCTCATCAAGATGTAGAATTCTTGGGTCATTCTCCAGTGTCATGTCTCCTTGTATACCACCATGTCCCACAATGATGATAATGGAGTAAACCTCTGAAACTGTAAGCCACCCCATTATAAGAGTTTTGTGGTCATGTTGTCTTGATGGGGAGACCTTGGTAGCCAGTTATCTTTATGAGGTGGATTCAAGTTAAGGTGTGGCTTTCTGGGACGGGGAGGGGGGGGAAACGGGCAGACGGCCCAGGTGTGTCCTTTCTGTGTGAATTCCACGGGGCACAGCTGAGCTTGAACTTCTTGTTCCTATTTCATGAGTTATCCCCTTATAATAAATAAAAATATAATTGTTTTATCCTTTAGCTAGCCTGTTTATTTCCCGAATTGAGCTAATTTCTACAGTGTCTCTTCACAGAAATAGGAACCCTAACTAATACAGAAGTGTAACTTTGAATGTTGATGTGGAGCCATCTTGTTAGTCCTTGTAATGCCACTATTAGTAGATGTGGCCTTGTTGAAGTGGCTATGACTTTGTTGGAGGAAGTGTGTCACTATGGTGGAGGGCTTTGAGGTTTCATATGCACAGAATACCACCCAGTAAGTCAGTAAACTTCCTGTTGCCTGCAAGATTTAGGACTTTCAGCTATTCTTTCAGCCACACACATCGACCTGTATGCTCCTATGTCCCCCGCCCCATGAGAATGGAATAAACCTCTGAAACGGTAAGTGAGCCACCCCAATTAAATGTTTCCTTTGTAAGAGTTGCTGTGATCAAGGTGTCTCTTCACAGTAATAAAACCATTAACTAAGACGGTCCTATACAGTTTGTTCTCTCCCAGGTCTTATATAATATTCTTAGTGTTGCCACTGACTAGTGTTACCAGCTTCATGTACTTTCTTCCCATCTGTTTTAGTCTGCTTGGTTCTTTCACATACAGCAAGATCCAAGAGAGACAATAATTTGTTATTTATATTTTATTATATAGTAATTTATTCTTTTTCCTGTAACTTATTGTCTCTATTGGCATCCAGGGGAACTTGGATTGGTTTAATGTTAACTATGATATGGAAAATAGTGGATTCTATTCAAATGGGTGTTAGCAACATATCTCTTTTTTTCTGATTTTTCAGGTGACTCCTTCTGTATATTGTTGTGGAATATTCCTTTATATTGTGTGGAAATGTGTCACTGTAATTGGTTTAATAAGGAGCTAAATGACTATTAGCTAGGCAGGAAGAGGTTAGGCAGGATTTCTAGAGACAGAGGTCTCAGGGATAAAGAAAGGCAGAGTCACCAACTGACACAAAAGAAACAGGACATACAGGAAGAGAGGTAAAAGCCATGAACCACGTGATAGCATGTAGTAAAAATAGGTTAATTTAAGTTATTAGAGCTAATTAGAAACAAGCCTACCAAAGGCCAAGCTTTCATAATTAATAATAAGTCTTTGTGTCACAATTTGGGGGCTGGTGGTCCAAAAAAGCCTCCTGCAATATATCCTTTAACATACGTACTGTGGTTCTTACCTTCTAGGAGTATTTTAGGTTGTCTGAGTAAAGTCTGTGTTCTTCACAGGTATACTACAGCCATTCAACTTGGGCTTCTTAGAATCA